ATGTTAGGTTCCTCGGTGAGGACGATGCTTAGTCACTGTGTTTTCCCCACAGTGGACGGCACACAGTGACTGTCTCTCTTGCTGTGGGTAACTGAGTAATGATTTGACTAATGCATTTCCTCATAAGTGTGTCTCTTGAAGCCAGGGAGACAGTATAAGATCCTCAAGTTTGAAGGCAAAGTCCCTGCTGGCCTCCCTTTGTGTGCGGCTAGGCTAGGTGAACTGTAGCTGTATCTAGAGCCGAATAAACAAGGAAACCAGAAATGGATGCTCTTTGCTGTTATCGGTAAAACATAGTTTCCTCATCTCTGCCTCTTTGATTTGGCACAGCCTCCCACTTGTTGCCTTCCTTAGGTCGTTTTTCTTTGAGGGGTTATTGATTCTGAATGTGCTTGCTCTTCCTGTCTCCAAGCTGCTTCCTCTGTTTAGTGCTGACATATCCTACGGTCGCTCTCCTAATATCCTCGAGCACTCCTCCATGTATCACACTTTTCACTGTCAGTAATAAAGATCCTTACAATAATGCGTGTCATTGAAGCATATTTTATTAATGGAGAGTTTGCTACAGTGTATCTTTAGGCCAGTGGAAGGGTACAGAGTAAGGTCTTGAAAGCAGGACAGGGGTTTTATAGACATTGACCTAAATAATAAATGATCTAAGATGGCGATAATTGTTAGAAAGTTGATAATAATTTCAAGTAAGCCTATCCACCAGTTTAAAACAAATCAGTGCTGAAGTGAAAGTTAGGGGAATCTTTCTGTGACCTTTAAAGACTTGAGTTACTAAAGGGAAAATATTTAATATTTGAAAATGAGGGTTAGCAAGATGGCTCGGCCACTGAGCTTGATGACCTGACTTTGGTCCCTAGGACCCACAGAATAAATTGAGAGAAGTGATTCTATTAGGTTGTCCACTGATCTCCATACAGGTGCTGTGGCTCACATGCACATACATGTACACAAAACAAAAATGTAATAAAAATTAAAGGGAAAACATGCTCACTATTGGTGAAATTATTAAGGCCACTCCATGTAGTTAAAAGGAGATTTATTTAATGGCGTAACTTACAAATGAAGGGATAGGTAAGTTGAGGGTTCTGGGAAAGATGCAGTGCAGTCCGGTGGTGTTGTCTGGAGAGCTCTGTCTGTCCACCTCTAGCATCCGGATTCCCAACAGCAAGAGAGCGCAGCATGGCCCGATCTGGATCTCCTGTCTCCAGGGCCCTCCCTTGGCCCCGCGTTGTGGGCGTGATAGTTACCAAAGCCTCAATGGGGGTTGGAACTTCCAGACCAAAGCTGGAATGGCTACCCACTACAGCTCACAAAGTAGATTAAGATGTTATGTGAAATTTAAAAGAAAAAAAAGAAAGAAAACGAGTGTTTCTAGCTGAGATGAAAGGCCTTGGACGAGCTAGATCTCCGAACACTGGTGAGCAAATGCACATAACTTGACAAAGCAGGGAAGGCCCTGCTTTGAGCAGCCCTGTGCTTGCCTATCTGGGTGATGGCACAGGGATACAGGCAGCTGTGGACTGCTCTCCGGCGCTCCACTCACCTTATGTTTCTGAACGACCTTCTGCAGCTTGTTAATGTTCTCCAGAGTGAGAGGCCATGTAGTGCACAGAGACAGGGTGGAAAATCCACCCCTGAAGCATGGGGTGTGCCGGACAGATTTACTTGAGTCTTAGCTACACGGTTGCAAGTGTCACTTCCGAGAATGGCTCCTGCCTGCCATGTGGAGAAAAGATTAAAATGGGAGGGATATTTCCTCCTTTCAGACCTCCTGGATTGCTCTAGAAAGAAAAACATGGATAATGTAAATCTGAAAGTATTGTAAAACAGCCAATTAACTAATTTTTTGGGGGGTTGCTGGGATTAAACCCAGGGCCTTGCACATGCTGGGTAAGTACATCCCCTCTAAACTGCCTCCCAGCCCTTGTTTAGTTATTTATTTATTTTTTCCACTAGGATCTTACTGTGTAGCTCAGGCTGGCTTTGAACTTGTTAGGTATAGCACAGGCAGGATTAAAGTTAAGATCCTCTGCCTTGTTTGTGTCCAGTCAAAATACAAATTGTGGTAAGATGTGCATTCAAAGATGGAAATATGGAGACAGCCAGAAGAAGGTGAAAGTATCCCTCTCTCAGTTAACAGATATTAGTTAAGCCCCTACTGTGTTTGGGTTAAGGAACATTCCCTAGGAAAATAAAATCTACTTATTTGGTCTATATATTATTTACTTTATTCATTCCACATGGAAAAAATTATTTAGAATTCTATTTTATATTTCCAAGGTTGTTAAAAGTAGACTGTATAGAGTATAATTAAACCCCATCTTAATGACTACCACCCACAACACTACCTGGCTGATCTTTAATCTCTGCACAGAAAACCCCTTGCACCTAATGACGCGCCTCTGACTACACAGCCCGTCTCTGTGATCTGAGAATCAGATAACCCTGATAGTGGAGCTGAATTTAAAGGGAGAGTCAACACGACTCCAGTGTATCTCTGAGAAAGTAGAACAATTAAGCTTTAACGAATGAGTTTCACAACTGATGCTTCAGCTCCTGGATGGCCCGGGTCAAGTTTCTCAAGGATCCCGGTGAACTTGAGACACCCAATCTAGAATTATGCGAAATACTCCTGTACTTGGCGACTGTGTCTGTTTAAGACAGGTGATCAGCAAAATGAAGCTAGGTGTGATGTTCACACTTACACTCTCACACTTGGGGTGCTAAGGCAGGGGGGATGCGCAAGTTTGAGGCCACTCTGTGCTCCCTAGTGAGGCCTAAGCCAACCTGGACACACTTGTGTACAATATTCAGACTTGCCTTTTGTGACTACAAAAGCCTTCTACTTTAACTCATCCTGCTATTGCGTCTTCACTTGCTTCTAAAACTGTCTCTGTATTTCCTTAGCATTCCTATGCTGGCAATATGACCTTGTTATATCTTTATTATGTCTTCGGAAATCCAAACAGCATAATTTAATTTCTAAATCATGCTTGTGAAAGATATTTAACACCAAAACTAAACAAGCTAAAACTCAAGCAGTAAGTTTTAAAAACTGGTTTCAGCCAGGTAAGGCCCATGTCTATAATCCTAGTATACAGGAGGCCAAGGCAGGAGGACTGTGAGTTCAAGGCCAACCCGGGCCACATATCAGGACTGTCTATAAAAGAAAGCATTTTTTTTTCTGTTTACTTGTTTGATTTTTGGCTTTCCTTATTCTTCCTTTTTTTTTTTTTTTTTTTTTTTTTTTTTTTTTTTTTTTTTTTTTTTTTCAACACAGGGTTTCTTTGTGTAGCCCTGGCTGTCCTGGAACTAGATCTATAGACCAGGCTGGCCTCAAACTCTCAGAGATCTGCCTGCCTCTGCCTTCCAAGTGCTGGGATTAAAGGCGAGTACCCCCCACTGCCTGGATGTTTTTACTTTTTCATCCAGTGCTGACTTCAGTGGTGACTGTCCGTCTGCACTCCCAGCACTCAGGAGCCTGAGGCAGGAGGATCATAGGTCATTCTGGGCTTGTGAGACCCTGTCTCTAAATAACAAAATAAAACTGTGCTTAGGCTTGGTGTTCTGCCTATCTTTCTGGCCCTTGGCCCTGGTGTATGGGAACCCATCTTTCTGCTATGCTCACTGCTCAGTTTTGCAGGACCTGCCTCTCCTGATGATGGAGACAAAGTGTGACTGTGACATCACTCTGTAAGAGAAGCTCCTGAGGAGACACGCCATTGTCAATCGACCATCTCTCTCGTTCATCCAGGGAAAGGTATCTTTTCTCAGAGACGTTGTTACTTGGTTTCATAGCTTCATCAGTTTCTCAGTTCACTTATTCTTCATATATTATGGATATATGAATGTAGTATTATAGTATTCATATAAGAACTGAGGGGCACCAATCCCTTAAACCTGGCTTTGGAGTTGATGTGCAGCTGTGCAGTGGCATCATATCCATTGGTATCCATTGCTGTGCTCCAGAGTCACTATCCAAATGGGAGAAGATGGAAAGTGGTAACCCGAGGAGGTACCTCCATATATGAAGCACCCATAAAGTAACTGCAACTAACCCTGAAATGATTTTACTCTTTCTTTTATATAGAGTAATAGAGATTATTACAGCTCTAATGTATCTCCTCCATCTTCCTCCTCAGGCCTACAGGGCACGTCTGTCGTGGGCCATGGCAACCTGTACTAAGTTTTCTAGCCCGTTTTCCAAACTAAAGTTTATGCTTTATTGCATGATTCTGGGGACATCATTGAATAGAGAGATGAGGGCTGCTTCAGTAGTCAAAAGCAACCAAAACTGTAACAACCTATCTATCACTTAAGGCTCTGAAGATGTTGCTTGGCTACCCACAGAGTGACTGAATATGAAATCGGAAAAAAAATCTTAACACAACCTGTAACTAACCTCCATGTAGTGACTTCCATCTGCAAATGGAAGTTGCAGTATGATTGCCTTTTGAGGCTGTCAGGAGATAACCTGGGGGTAATGGCTTGTGTCCATATAGGTATGCACATATGCATGCAGTGTTAACTGTTTATCATCTCCCTATCAGGCAGTGCTTTGATGCAGTCAGAGAAATGACACTGTATGTTTTGTTTGGTTGTTAAACACGGATTCTTTCTTCTGTTTTCCACAAATCTTAGCTGAGCTGATGTGGTGATACGGCCGCCAGAGGTCCTTGTAGGCATCGCTTAGCCACAGTGGGGCTGAAGGGTTAAAGGGGTTTCTGGTCTTCTGTAAATAAGAGCGTCTTAATGAAGGCATTATCACCACCACCCAGGGCAGTAAAAACAGCGAGCAGCTCATTAATTCTCTCGAGTACAGTTTATAAAGTTTTGGATGCAAGCCGTCTTTGGAATTAGAGCAATTTTAGGAAAGCAAATGACAAAGGGGGATGTGTGTGGGAGTGGGTGGGGGGAAGGAAGCAAACTTATAGGAGAGACACTGAGCCACCTCTCCCCTGGGGCACAGCCTCCAGCCGTGTCATAGTCCTTTCACCAACTTCTCTGGATGTCAGCGATCAGTTTAGGCTCGAAGGCTCCGTGGTGCAGAAGACCCTGCTCTCCACGCATGGTGTCTGCAGTGACAGTGCCCTGCTCTGCTCAGGAACCGGACGCACTGCAGAAGGGCCCTGGTGGAATCCGGTGACTGCAGCCAGGCGCGACCCCAGCCCTGAGGCCCACGCTGCCTCCACTACGCGGGCTCGGGGGCTCCCACCCCGAGGCGGGCACTGTGCTTGGCTGCTGTTCAGTCGGCGCTGGCCCCCCTCCCTCCCCCAGTCCCTGGAGGCTCCGTGGCTGCCGGAGCAGGAGGTGGAGCCCAGCCCTCGGCCGACTGGTAGGAGGGAAAGTTCGGCAGCAGCGGCGGGAGTAGCTTAGCAGCGGGAGCCCCGCCCGGCTGTCTGCAGGGCTGCCTGGGGTAAGTAGGGGTCCCTTACCCGGAGTACGGGCCGGGCGTGGCGGGCTGCGTGCGGGTGTGTTGCTGCCGCTCGCCTGTCCGCTCAGCCCAATGCCACTGCCCGCGCGACCTCAGGGTTGGCTCTCCGTCAGGGGTAGAGGACGACCCCACCGTTGGTCTCCTTGGATCACTGCTATCCTAGGGCGGAGGACTCCGTGATCACTACCCGCTGTAGCCGGTGCTAGGTGGGTGGCGGGATCGGTGCCTCTAGATGGACACGCGAGCGCAGCTCTGAGAGAGGGTCCCCAGTGCCGCACCCCGTGGTCAGCCCGGCTTCCCCAGCGCTTTTGGAGTCCAGAGCTGCTCGCTTACTATCCAGAAACCCCCTTTTCAAAGTAGCTTTGGCAAGTGCTGGCACCCCTAGTTTGCTGTCCCTGGATTATTTTTTGCTGTGATGGAGAGGGTGGCCCGTGGGCAGCACGATCTCCTGCGTTGTACCAGGGCAATGGTGACTCTCGGGATCCCGAGGGTCTCCACTATCTGAGTGTGAACCGGTGCAAGTGTGTGCGCCAGGGGTGGAGAGAAGCTCTCCCGAGGCATGGTCTTAGGGGGCAGTGGGGCGTTCCGAAGGCTGGAGGCAAAGGAAAACTGGGCTGGGCGAAGGCAAAGTTGTTTGTTTCTGCTACACTTCCTGCACCTGTACCTCTGTCGTCAGTGATTTTGAAATTATAGAGGAAAAGACATTAACAATACTGTACATGCCCAAACATTGAGCCTCGGTGGTTACTAAAAGGAAATAGTAATGAATGATAAGGTGGCTGTTTTTTTTGCAAACTCCATTTTTATTCTGATTGTAACATCTTAGCATGATTTTCACTTAAATGTCATTAAAGATAACTAACTTCCAGTTCCATGTTTATAGGGAATTTAAATGTTTAGTAAATCCCAGTAATTCTACAGGGTTTCTTGGATTGTGTTAACACTTTTCATTATAAGAGAGTCTCAATTATTGGGAACTGTGAGCATTAATAAACTGTGGGGTTTGGCCACGTGGAGAGAAGTCTTTTAAACGTGGAAATAGAAGTATAAGGCAGAGAGTAATTGGTACCCTAGGCGTAAAAGGTCACCTGAACACACAGAAGAATGATTACTCTGATAGAGGGATCATGCGTTGAGCTTCCAGAAAGTGCCAATTCTGGGGAAAGATGAGATGGGCCTTACCCACTGTAGGAAATTAATACCTGTAAAATCATTTCCTCTGCATTGAGCTACCTATTGGGTGTGTCCAACATGCAGCCAGCCTATGGTGTGCAATAGGGTGAAGAATAGCTATTAATATAGCTCAAGACAAAATCATGAATTTATTTAAAACACTAAGGGGTTTTTGTGATTAATTTTTTTTTCAACTTGGTGCAATTGTCAAGCTTGAATTTTGCAGCTTAGGACACACCTGCTGCCACTCCAAATCAAGAAATTATTCATTTATTTTCCTGAGACAGTGCTTCTTTTTGTAGTCCTGGCTGTCCTGGAATTCATTCTGTAGACCAGGCTGGCCTAGAAATCAGAGATCTGTCTGCCTCTGTCTCCTGAGTGTTCGGATTAAAGATATGCAACCACCAAATCATGATCACCCAATATTACTTTAATTCTCTCCATTTTCCTGTCTCAGATCTCATTGTAAACCATATTAGGGAACTTCAAAGAAAATATCCAAATGTTTGGATTCATCTGAAGCGTTTATCTAATAATTCTTTATCAATAAAAAGCCGGGAGTCAGATATCGAGGTAAGAACCTGAAAGATCGGAGAACAGCCACCAGAGACTTCCTATCTTTTCTGTCCTTCTGTCCAAAAGGGTCAAGATCCTCTCTAAGCCCCGCCTTACTACTTCCTCAGTCCTCCAAAACCTCAGCTAGCTCCGCCTTCTGATTCAAAACAAACTTTATTGTCAGAAAGCAATCAGTATTCACCCATTATATTACTGTGAGATTGTGCTTCGCTGTTCCTGAAAGCTGTCCTCCAAGATGCTTGTCCTACTTTTTAACTGCCTGACCCTGGGCAAGTCACTTGCTCTTTCCAATACCAGAGTTCTAATGTGCAAAATGGTTGCAACACTCCTCACATGATAGAGATATTTGGAGAATTAAATAACATTCTTTTCTAAGTGCTCAGAACAGTTGACCCTTTCCTGAGTGCTATCTCTTGTCTTTCTTAAATACTTTCAGATATGTTTTGACACTTAAAAACTTTAAAATTTGTAATTCTTCCTTTTATGTGATCTTTTGCCCATCCATCCATCCATCTATAATACATCCATGAGGCTATTTCTCACTGAAGGTCATTGGATTTTGCCCTGCTTGGCTGTTTGAACCTAGGAGTTGGTACTATGGAGGATGGTGGTAGGCAATGCTTCAGGGGTTTCTTTTGGCTGAGAATCCATCATGAGGATGTGAGATGATGAAGTGGACTTTCCAGCCTTCCTGTTTCCCAGTTCTGTGCTTTATAAGATGATACCACACTGAAAAGAAGAAAGGGTAGGCTGTGCATGACTACTGTTTCCCCTGCTTCCCTTTGCCATCCAACTCCATATTGGCAAGTAGTAAGGACTTAAGTGTTTGTTGGTTTGAAATTCACAGTGTAATGAAGTTATTCTTCAGGTCACATTCTTCTTTTTGTATTCCTGGTGAAAGGACCTTGGGCTTGTAAATTATAGCCCTACCATATATTAAGGCTAACAGAGGTACTAAAGAGGCTGAGCTCAGGTAGACTTTATTACCTATTGATTTTGGCCTCATGATAAAGTGGTCTTATAAAACTTGTAAAAGCCAGGTCTAGCAGTGGCTCCGCCACTAGGGGCCCCCTCTGCACACTGGATTACCCTGGGCTGTCATTTGCTCCCATCCTTCCTTCCTTTCAGAGAGCAGAGGAACAGATTTCTTCACCAGAAACGAATACGTATATGCAAATCTTTAACAAAGGACTGAAAAGAAATGAAATCTCTCTTTGATGGATTCAGTGGGCTTTTAAAAACAACTTTAGAGACTTAAAAATTGTTTTTTTTACTTTATATATCATAATATTCAAATATGGAATTTCTTAAATTTAGAAACTAAACACATGATTCAGATGTAGAATTTTAAAGTTTTTCTTTGTATATGTGTGTGTGTGTGTGTGTGTGTGTGTGTGTGTGTGTGTGTGTGTCCATCTGTTTTTGGTGGAACATTTTTTCTGAATCTTTTAATGTATTTAAAATAGCTTTTTCTCCTAAATGGATACTTGCTGTGTTATGTGTATGTCCTACATATACATTGTAATGTATTGTAGTAATATAAATTGCTTCTCAGGGGATTTTATGTAGCCAGTTGAAGCCCCCCCCCCTTCTCTGCCTCTTTTTCTTTTTGGCACTGCATTAAAGTTTACCTTTAACAATGTTTTGTTACATTCTACTATGCAGCATTAAAGGGCATCTTTCTTCTGTGTGAGCAGTTTTGTTTAAGGTAGGGCCTCATTATGTAGCAGGCTGGCTTCAAATCTCAGTGATCCCCCATGAGCTACCATACCCAACTATGAGTTTTGAAAAACTCTTTTACTTGTAAATTCTGATTTTAATAAGTTAGTCAGGCTTGAGAATATTTGTTGAACAACTTGAAGGTGCTTTTATTTCCTAGACATAACTTGTTATTTGGTAGAAGCAATACTGGCAGTGTATGTAAACAGGCATTATTGCCCCCAATGTGGCCATATTGTTTGCAAATAAATAAGAGAATATTTTCAGGTTTCCAGTGAGATTTAGTTTATTTTGGGAAACTAAACACCTTTATTCTGCACAGAAAAGGCAACTAAGGTAAGAGACCCAACAGACTGAGACCAATAGACTGAGACCCCAAACCTTACAAAAGGGTTTCTCTTCTTATTTATCAGAACCTTTCTGAATTCAGAAAAATTTCAGATATCCAGTTCTGATTTCCACACGGTGTGATTCGAAAAACAAGGAAATCTGATCGTTGTTGTTTTTCTATGAAGGTTCGGCCAGTCCATGGCTGAGGCACAAAATAAGAGAACTAACTTTTATTGTGAAGGCCATAGATAATTTTTATTATCACTTCCCCCCATTAGGCGGAATTTTTTGGATTGCTTTTAGGGTTCTGGCATATCAAAGAGTTGTGCAGATCCTGTTTGTACAAAGGAATGCTTTTCTAGAACCGGAAGAGGTTTTTAACTTCTGGCTAGGGAAGGGCTTGGCACCTCTAGCCTCTCCTTCCTCTTCCCAAGGCGGAAGTTGAGCCTAAGCCAGAATGACAGACATACAGCTTGCTGCGGGCCGTGATTTAGTTTGGGCAAAAGCCCTGAGCTGACAAAGATTATGGATGTTTGCCGGAGGTGCGGGAAATGAATGGCTCTTTATACCTGGGAGTCCTTTATAGGGACCTGCATTTGGGAGGTACCACCTATATGGAAATGACAACGGTGAGCTAGGATTCTTTGAACCTATCACTCAGCATAGGGTGCATGGATGATTTCTGTTGGTTTTAGGCAATGCAAAAACCAAACATTTGGTTATCCTGGGGTCACATTTGCTTCTTTATCTTATTTGCACACATCAAGGACGTTTGAGTTCATGAAGTGGGAAGCAAGGAAGTACAGTAGGTAGGTAGGTATACTGAGCACTGGGATAGCCTTGATTTTTGTATTCCCAAGGCATAGGTTAATTTAGCAATCTTCACGGATGGTTTCGGGAACGTCATCTATTCTGTTTCTGAAACTGAAGCCCTGGGTACCCTCAAAAGTGGCTTTTTTCTTGTCTCTCCTTTGTTAGATACTTAAGAAAGTGTTCTTTAGAAAAAGTCTCCTAGTGCAGCTGAGGCTGACCTTGAACTTTTTCTGCCTAAGCTTCCAGAATGCCAGGATTTCACACACCGAGGTTAGGTATTTGCTACTAAATTGACCAGTATGTTTTCATGGTGCTGCTGTTAGTCCATGAGTTGTCCTTGTACAATTTAGTGCTAGGTACTCCTTTCATGT